TCAGGGATTATGTGAAGATCTGGGGGCAGCTCATTCCAAAGGGAAGGCGCTCCCACAGAGAAGGCTCTCCCCCTGCGGGTCACTAGCCGACACTGTCTGGCCGACGGCACCCTGAGGAGGCCAACTCTGTGGGATCGCACTGGACGGTGGGATGGTGTTGATTTGGATTTTTCTCTCTGACTTGAAATATAAGAAGCACTGCAGAGTTGCCAGTGTTGAAATAGAAATTCAACATCTCTTATTACCTTTACATTTCTAGTGGTTTATTTTGACTACTGTCTTCTTACTGTAGCCGTTGGCTGCACCAATGTTTGCAATTCCTTCCAGCTTACTAAGGAGCTGCTTTGCTCTGAAGCGTTGTACAAGCCTAGGAGTCGGCAGCCAAAGAAACGGAACAAATTAATAACAAATTAATATGATTATAACAGCAAGCAGCTATTTAATTAAGGACCCTGTTGGCGCAGTGATTTGAATGCAGTATTTCAGGCTAATTTTGCCTACAGCCAGGGAGTTTGATCCTGACCGGCTCAATATTGAGTCAGCCTTCCATCATTCCGAGATTGGTAAAATGAGGACCCAGATTTTGGGGGGGCAATATAGTGACAGAGAGGGACGCGGTGGCTCAGTGGCTAAGATGCTGAGCTTGTCGATCAGAAAGGACAGCAGTTCGGCAGTTCGAATCCCTAGCACCGCATAACGGAGCGAGCTCCCGTTACTTGTCCCAGCTTTTGCCAACCTAGCAGTTCTAAAGCATGTAAAAATGCAAGTAGAAAAATAGGAACCACCTTTGGTGGGAAGGTAACAGCCTTCCATGCGCCTTCGACATTTAGTTATGCCAACCACATGACCACAAGCCATCTTGAGTTGTCGCCCCCTAGAGTCGGGAGCGACTAGCATATATGTGCGAGAGGAACCTTTACCTTTACCTATAGTGACATTTGTAAACCACTTAGAGAATGCTGCAAAGCATTATGGAGCTGTATAAAAGTCGAAGTACTATTGCTATTGCTAATTAAAAGACTACCATGCTAGAAACTTTTAATTGAGTATATGGCTGGCAAGTCCAGATTAGTGCCTGTTGTTCATTAGCAATATTGAACCTACCTTATCTTTTCATGAACATATCATGGATTATGTAGGATTCCTCTTTGTCCCTATGCCTCAGGCCGAATTCTGTTTTTGCTTCTTTGTTTTGTAGTTAGCAGTCCATCTTTCTATCCTTGTTTCAGAATGCCCATCAATCTTATCCCATGAACCTCATCTGTCATTTTCTCATATTCCTGCATGTCCCATTATTTTTTTTTGCCTTTTGCCTAATCCTTCATTCTCCCAAGTCCTGTCCAAAGCTTTTTACCTTTGACTGATATTCTCATTTCAAATTTCTGACACCTTTGGTGATTTACCCGAGCTACTCTTACTCACCTGTCTTTCTCTTCAGTTGCTTCTTTGCTTGTTTTAAGCAAACTATAGTTTAATGAAGTCATTTCCAAGCTGCATCCTTTAGAGGTGCTAGATTTGAGAGATTCTGTGAGTTTGCCCTAGCATATCTGTTTTTACCTCTTTGAAATTGTTGAAGAGTAAAGGAGGTGACATTAAATTTAAAAAAATCACAAGCTAAGGGGTTCAGTTTTCCCTAAACTAAGCCCTATATTTAGTCTTTTATAGAGAATATGTAAGCAAGCCACATTAAAAAATATTGGGGCATGTGAGCAAGTTACTCTGTGTTGCTACATTTTGCCCTTTTAAAAAAAGCTATAAATTTTATATTACATTTTCCAAAATTCCAAAACTTAATATCGAGCAGCTGTGTGGCAACACCCAGTTGACTTTGGCTCATCTTAAAAACCTAATCTTGGGTGGACCTGGCTATACTTGGATGGAAAACAACTAGCAAATGCTTGAGCTTCAGGCTAGACAGGGAAGTTTTTTTTTAAAGGACCCCAGAAGGCAGCAGTAGCAAACCACTTCTGTATTGATTCTAGGAAAACCAGATAGATGTGCCCATAAAACCACCAGGAGTGTAAATGGACTACTAAAAAAGAAATTTTACATCACTGAAATCAGTTTCCTAATGGCAGATCTGTTGGTTTATTAGACCTAAATTGTATGTTTATTCTGGTCGGAAGCATCACAATTAAAATAAGGCATAGTATTTGACGTAAAATTTAAGATATCAAATACAATATTAAAAAATATGTGTACAAATTAAACATGTTGCCAGAAACTAGCAACATTAATTGCGTTCTGATGCACAGCCATGAGGTCCTCAAATGTACACTGATCAGGACCTAAATTTATAACTTTGCACTCATTAGTAATATTGATAGAAAAATACACTCTTAAGGTTTTTGTAAAGATTGAGGTTAAGGCTGTATTTTGACATGAAAATTAACTCTGGTTTACAGAAGAATGAGTCTTGAGGTTGCACGTTCCATTCAACCACATTTTTCCCGAGATAGACAATTACAAAATAACCTTGAAACTTTCCTTGGTGGAAAAATATGTTTGGATTCAAATGTAATTTGTTAATTTTTTTTTAAAAAGACAACTATTCGAGGAATGGAATTTATTTTATATCATAAAAAAACCTTTATCTTCCACTATAGCAGAGGTGGGTTTTTACCGGTTCGGACTGGTTCAGCCGAGTAGGTAGTATCAATGGCTCCATATGCGCCGCCATCATGTTTTTTTGCTGCTGTGCATGCGCAGAAGCTTTTTTTAACCTGTGCATGTGCGCATAGCGCACATCAAGCGCGCATGTGCCTGAAGAGCATCCCTGAGTGAACTGGCAGTAGAAGAAGCCGGAACCCACCCCTGCACTATAGGTTTCTCACAACAAGTGTCAGTCTCTAGTAGACTATGTTCTTGAAAAGCTAAGCAAAATTAATGTTGAATGAGAGACTATCAGGAGATCCTAAAGTTGCATTGTTGCTAAGATTTTAATTACATAGCCTCCAAATCTAGATAAAACATGTTGCTCTTGTTTTGTAGTTAGATTAACTTCTTTTAGCAAGCTGATAGGAAGCCTTGTGGCGGTCTGATGAAGGAAGCGATAAGGAAGGCCTGTCAAACTAGCAGCCCGTGGGCCAGATACGGCCTGTGCAGGCCGCGCCCACCCCAGCTCTGCAAAGGCAAAAATATCCAGATATGTCACGATACAGCCTGATACGTCATGACCCAGACCGCAATGCGATGGGGTTTGACATCCCTGGGATAAGGGATCCTAAGGCATATATTTCATCACAATATGGCAGCCAGTAAATCATTATACATTCAGAATACAGAATGAAAGCGTTCGAAGGGACTTGGGCGTCGTCTAGTCCAACCCCCTGAAACCTAAACCATTTTGGGCATTCAGAACTGTTTAAAATGATATGTCCGAGGGCCATGTAAAAGCGAGATGGGGAGGTATATAAATCAAATAAAGAAATAACGAGTAAGTAAAGGTTGTCATATCAATCTGTTTCCGTGTTCAGTAAAAATGGAATACAAAAAAGGTTTGATGTGATGGCTCATCAGCGTAACATGGGAGTGAATATTTTGACTTAAATGAGCAGCAAATGTGAGGGAAGACGGCTTTTGAAGGAAAGAGGGGGGTGGGGGGAAGCAGCACATACATCAAAAAATCTGCTGCCTCAGAAGATGGCACAGCTTTCCTAGAATAAAGACTGACATGTTTGAAGGTCATTTCACAGTGTGGTGCTTTGGATTCACAGCGGAAAAAGGGTTTTGGAGTTCTGAATGTAGTATCCGTCAGCAACTTTTTCTGTGCAGGGGGATGCAGGTACTTTTAAGAAAATGCACAGGAGTGCAACATGGGTGCTTCCATTTTTGTCTGAAATCCATTTATGCCTTTGCACTGCCCAGCCTTGCTTTTTGCAAAGAAGCCATTTTAAAGGGCAAGAATAGGTAGCACTATATTGCCTCATTAAAACAAAGAGAGGTTATAACAACAGGGGATTGTTAAAACTTTGTTATGGATTACCTGATATACCAATAAACACCAGAGACTTTTTATCTTGTGCTAAAGTGAAGGGAGCAGGAATGCATTTATGCATGAATTTGTTTTCCATTCTTTGCAGGTCTTTTATTGCAAACTAATGGATGAAGCTAACCGGGGATCATTTCCGTCTGAAGTTGTGAATAAAATATTTTCCAACATTTCATCCATCAATCAGTTCCATAGTCAGTTCTTACTACCTGAGCTTGAGAAAAGAATGCAAGAATGGTAAGCATGGTTGCAAATTGTTGAAGGACAGTTTGAAAAATAGCATGGACATCATCCCCGCCCCCAGTAGGAGATTATTCCCATAATCTCCTACCGCAAGAAGCATTTAACCTTGTGCAGGGGTGTCAAACTCACGTCATCATGGCGGTGTCACGTGGCTTATTGGGAATTCGCTAAACTGGGCGTGGCCGTGGCCAGCGTGTGAAAGCATCCGGCCCACAGGTTGGGAAGTTTGGCAACCCTGACCTTCTGTAATTGAAATTCTTCATGAAAAAACCCTGGAAATATATTATCCCATTGCCTTAATACCTGTCCTTCCATATGTGCAGATATCCAAAACATATAGATTGCAATATTGAAGTAGGTGAGATCAATCTGTATTTGTAGAATAAAAAAGATCAACTTCTACATCATGAACTGGATGTTTGTTTAAATATGTTAAGAGAAATATACTTGGTCAATCTGTGAGTTTGATTTTCTTCCTTTTTTTAAGAAAAACCACCTGTTTCCTCTCAACTCAAAACTAGATCATATACTTCAGTCCCGGTCAGCCCACTGATCCCCAATATGTTAATAGACACTCCATTGAGTAGAAAAACACAGAGGTGGGATGACTGTACAGATTCTCCTTGTGTACTCTTTACTGTTGTAGAATATTAGTTACAACTTTGAGAAATGCTTGTGTCTCCCTTACGAATGATCAGTAGGGAGGATAAAATCGTTCATAAAGTATAGGCGTTGGCTCCTGAACAATTAGAGTCTGCTGCTGTGGGAGTCTAATTAATTGAAAAGATGAGTGCTTTTCGTGATAGGCTTTCAGTAAAAGCACCTGTAATAAATTGTAATCATCACAATTGAGAATATGAGTTTGAGTCTGAAAATCCTTTGGCAAGATTATGATTGTCACACATAAATAGGCATTAAGGTAGGCAAACTAACCCAATGACAAAGAATTTACAGTACTAAAAGGCCCATGGTAAGCATTGCTACTTGACTTTTAACACGTTTTTCATGTGTTGTTGCTTTTTTCCTTCTGTTTAGGGACACCAACCCCAGAATCAGTGATATTCTGCAGAAACTGGCTCCTTTTCTCAAGATGTATGGAGAGTACGTGAAGAACTTTGACAATGCAATGGAGCTGGTGAAAACTTGGACGGAGAGATCGCCTTGTTTCAAATCCATTATTCAAGATATTCAGGTAATACATTGTCTATATGTAGTATGTGTGTGTGAATGAGAGAAATAATGATTTCATCACACACATACACTCACACACACACACGCACACACCAATAGCATTTCATTTTGTTGCATGGTATAGTGTAGGGGTGTCAAACTCAAGGCCCACGGGCCAGATCTGGCCCACAGGGTACTTAGGTCTGACCCACGGGGCCACCCTGGAAATAGCGAAGGACCTGCCTGCAGTTACTCTGCCAGTGAAAATGGAGTTCGGGAGTGCTGCGCACTGCCCTCCCTGGCTCTGTTTTCTGCCATGATGGCCTTCCCTCTGCCAGCTAAAACAGAGGTCCATTTTTGTTTGCAGAGGGCCATTGCAGCTGAAAACAGAGCACAGGAAGGCCCCCAGCCTGCCCAGGCCACCACCACGGATGCCCCCGACACAAGTGACATCAAGCTGGCCAAGATCAAACACAACCCTGATGCGGCCCTCAATGAAATCGAGTTTGACACCCCTGATATAGTGCATATAGCCTTCTGGAAACAATTTGGAAATGCATATAAGTGTCCAATACTCTACCCATGAAGTGGTAAACTCAAGTTGTCTAAAATGTAGGTCACACGTGGCTAATAAAAACTAGGAGATCTAAAATTCCTCGGAATCAAAATGATTAAAGTTGAGGACTACCTGTTGTGTATAAGATGTATATTAACAGTTTCCTTTCTTTTCTTTTTTTCTAGAAACAGAAAGTTTGCGGAAATCTGACTTTGCAGCATCACATGCTAGAACCTGTACAACGAATCCCAAGATATGAGATGCTGTTGAAGGATTATTTGAGAAAATTACCTGCAGATTCTCTAGATTGGAAAGATGCTGAAAGTAATATTTGTGGGCATTGGGCATGAAGCAAAAGAGGAACTATTTTACAGCTCGCTATTTTCCTTTGGGTTGTCCGGATGGAAAAAAATATATTATTTTCTCTTGCATGTCGGTTGTGTGCTGAAATGCAAGAGAAAATAAGTACATCAGCATATCAATATGCATTTTCTTGCATACTGATACGCTGTATTAAGTTTTAAATTGTGATGAGTGTTGCAATTGTCATTAACTAGTTGTAATTTTAAAGGTATTCTTTTTAAACTGTGTTTTTCAAAAAGGGGTTTCCACTCCCCCCCGAAAAAAATGATTTCATTCATTTCATTCCAAGAATGCTCACAGTAGTTTTGTGCAGACATATAAATTAAGGATTAGTATGTTAATTCAAACCACAGAAAGATACATGTTATGATTATTTTTCTAAAAATCTGTTTCCCCAACTAAATTAATAGACTCTGTTTTTCTGAAATTTGAATAAGGAGGCTAAGATTAATTTTCCTTCAGCATAGTGGCAGGGCTGGTCATATCCTTGCCTTTAATTGACCTCCGCAGATTTCATTCAGTGTCAAAAAGACAAGCACAGCAGTCATTTTCATACATATGTCAGTTTGAAGTGACTGAGCTGGCAGTGACAAGTTGAATTGGTAGCTGGATTTGCATTTTACACACAGCAGAAAAATTATTCTGCCAAGGGCTTGTTTAATGTTTCATTTCAGTAAAAGATGCATTATCATGACCATTTAATATTCAATAATATCTTATGTTCACTGCAAGAAGTCTCTCTTGCTCTGACTTTATACTTTGTACTTATATGAAAAGCTAATTCTGGGGAAACTTGCTATGCTATACAGTATGTGGCTATTTAATTTAATTTGGCAGCTTTAAAAAAAAATACAGGATATACGCAAGTTAGCGTTTAAAATATTAATTTACATGTTAAGGAATGAGAATTAATCTTTTTTATTTACCATTTCTTCCCTAGAGTCCTTGGAAATTATATCCACAGCTGCAAGTCACTCTAACAGTGCCATCCGGAAAATGGTAAGTAACTTATTTGCTATTTTCTGTTTGCAGAATATGCATTTTGGTTCTTATTACAGGTGGTTTTCAACTTGCAACCATAGCTGAGCCCAAAATTTCATTGCTAAACAAGACAGCTGCTAAGTGAGTTTTGCCCCATTTTAAGAGCTGAAGTGGCGCAGTGGTTAAATGCAGCACTGCAGGCTACTTCAGCTGACTGCAGTTCTGCAGTTCGGCTGTTCAAATCTCACCGGCTCAGGGTTGACTCAGCCTTCCATCCTTCCGAGGTGGGTAAAATGAGGACCCGGATTGTTGGGGGCAATATGCTGACTCTGTAAACCACTTAGAGAGGGCTGAAAGCCCTATGAAGCGGTATATAAGTCTAACTGCTATTGCTATTGCTATTATGACCTTTCTTGCCATAGGTGTTAAGTGACTCTGGCTTTCCCATTGACTTCGCTTGCCAGAAAGTCACAAAGGCAGAGGTGGAAATTTTGAGTAGTTCGGAGAGCTGGTAAATACCACCTCTAACTGGCCCTGCCCCATCTATTCTCTGCCTCCCAAGTCCCAGCTGATCGGGAGGGAATGGAGATTTTACAGTATCCGTCCCCTGCCACGCCCACCAAGCCACACCATGTCCATCAAGCCACGCCCACCAAGCCACGCCATGCCCATCAAGCCACACCCACAGAACCGGCAGTAAAAAAATTTGAATCCAAGACTGCACCAAGGTGAGCACATGACCCCAGGACACTGCAACTGTCATAAAGACATTTGCCGAGTGTCCAAATTTTTATCAAGTGACCCTGGTGATGCCGCAGTGCTCATACGTGTGAAAAACAGAGATGAGTCTCTTTTTTCAGTGCCATTGTAACTTCAAATAGTCACTAAACAAATAGTTGTAAGTCAAGGACCACCCATATTTAAATTGTATGGACAACTATCAATTTTATGGATGTCTAACTGAGAAATACTATTTGTATCATAATAATACATTTGTTTCCCCAAAAGTCTTTACACTCTTCACAAGGGCAATTAATGCAATTGCCATTTGTTTTGCTTGCTCCTGATTTTTTCATGGATGATTGCCCCCAATGAAACTGCTTCGTTAAGCTATTCTTCGAGCACTTTTCTTGTTTTTGTAGGTGACCAATATTTTGGCTTTTCTAATCTTAGGGAAACATGATGTTCTCTGGCTTTGGCTTTCAGGAGAAAATTATGTAACTACTATAAGTGAACAGAATAGCTACACAATATATACGATGAAACATCTTTTCATGTGTTATATTTATAGAGTGTGTTTGTGAATTTCTAAATCAATCTATATCAATCTGTATAAATAAAGATTCTGCATAATTCAATCTATATAAATAAATGAATTATCTCCTTCTTGTGATGATCCTCACCATAACCCGTGAGGCTGCTGGTGTAGAAAAAGAGCAGGCAGAGCTGTGGTGGTGGTGGAATTAAACATGTTATTAGAGTCTTTACGTTGCCACAAACAATCCAAATTCAACCCCTCTTGAATTCCGTTGATCCTTATATGACGCCAATATAATATTGAACTTCAGGTTCTTATGTATATACTTCTCATAAACTAGTTGCAAGCAGCTTGAATCAGTGTTGTCATTTGTTTTATTTTGATGAAAAAGGAAAATTTGAAGAAGTTACTAGAGGTGTATGAAATGTTAGGAGAAGAAGAAGATATTGTCAATCCTTCAAATGAACTGATAAAAGAAGGGCAAATACTTAAGCTTGCTGCTCGCAACACATCAGCTCAAGAAAGATATCTCTTCTTAGTAAGTATTTTCTTCTATGTTTGTGCAGGTGAAGGGGAAGTGCTATTTCAGTGCTGTGGTTTTTCCTACAAAGAAAGATTTCCAAGTAGTTCTTTTTCGAGTAAAATGTTCCTAATTGTTCTTAACATAACTTGTGAAGTAATGCTAAACATGAACATACCCTTACACTTCAGACAGCACCAGGAATCATGGTTGATCTTAACCAGGACTAATGTTGATGCAATAAAAGGCTGAAACATGGTTAAATGCGAAAAGGCACTTATGCATAATTGAGAAAGGAGACTTCCTAGTTTGCAAGTGGAAGGTTACAAGAAAGCAGTGTGGAGCATTTGTGTGGGGGTCAGAGATGCTAACACATTCAAATACATAAGTCCATTAGTAACAGGATTCCTTTGCAATTGTCCACCAGGCTAGCTTCTCTTCATCCTGTGTCTCCTACCTTTGAATGAGAAGTAGTGAATGGTATGTTTAAGTAGTAGTAGGTGACTCAGTGGCTAAGATGCTGAGCTTGTCGATCAGAATGGTCGGCAGTTCGGTGGTTCAAATCCCTATTGCCGCATAACAGAGTGAGCTCCCGTTACTTGTCCCAGCTTCTGCCAACCTAGCAGTTTGAAAGCATGTAAAAATGCAAGTAGAAAAATAGGAAGCACCTTTGGTGGGAAGGTAATAGCATTCTGTGTGCCTTTGGCATTTAGTCATGCTGGCCACATGACCATAGAGACATCTTCAGACAGCGCTGGCTCTTCAGCTTTGAAACTGAGATGAGCACCATCTCCTGGAGTCGGGAACGACTAGCACATATGTGCGAGTGGAACCTTTACCTTTACCTTGTCCCATAGGAGGAAGAATGGCAGGATCTGGGGGCAAAGTGAAAAGGGGGATCAGCCTAGAATGCCTATATAGCCACAAGCAGAGTAAGTCCAAGCTCCCCTCCCCCCCTTGAATTCCATGAATCCTTATTTAACTCCAAGCAGATGCTAACTTAGTTGAGAAGATTCCTGTACATAGGCACGCATAGCAATAACTCAATTTAATTGGACTTTCATGTCTAGACCCACGCCTGATATGTGCCCATGGAAAACACTTAAATACCCTCTGTTAGTTTCAAAAGTATTTTTCTACTTTTTTCTGTCTTTGGTGAAGAGGAAATTTTTTTTTTTTTTACATTTGTATTCCAACCTTCTTCCTAAAAGTTGTGTTTATATTTAAACCGGGATTCAACTCTAGTCAATCAATTTCTAGAAAAAATTCATATAACATAGATGTGGCTAAAATCCTTAGAACAATCTTTTTCTGTACTTAAAACTGTTCTCAGGAAATATTTCACACACACTACACTCAAAATCAGCTATCCAGGCAAGAAACTTCTTTCTGTACTTTCAAAACCAAAGAACTTTTTTTTAAAAAAAGTAAACATTAAACAAAATAAAATTGGCTTCATTACTTTAATGGTTTAATCCTTTATGAAATGTGTAATTAGTTTCCAAAACTCCTATTTTACACACTGGCAAATGTAACATTTATCTCAGGTTGTACTACATTGTATGTTGAAAGTGAACTATAACTAAGTGAATATCTTGGGAGGATTGTAGCAAAGTTAGTTGTGCTAACCACATCTTAATTAATATCTTTCTTATTTTTCTTTTGATAAAACAAAATTTATTGTTGTGGGGCATGGATAAGCACACGAGCGTGCCTACCGTCCCTGTACTACTGTCCCATTTATACATAAACTTTTTATGCGTTTATGGTTATGTTTTGCTTATTTATATCCATTTATTTGTGCCATTTTAATGTGTTTTAATACTTGTTGACAAATGAATAAATAAACTTTTACATTGGAGAGTGAATGTTTTTGTTTAATAAAAGCCACTAATTACAATTATGGATACTAATGTCTTTTGGTGTATTGTTTTTTCCCCCCAGTTCAATAACATGTTGCTGTACTGTGTACCAAAATTCAGCTTAGTGGGATCTAAGTTTACAGTCCGGACCAGAGTTGGCATTGATGGTATGAAGATTGTAGAAACCCACAATGAAGAATACCCACACACTTTTCAAGTGTCTGGGAAAGAAAGAACTTTAGAGTTGCAGGCCAGGTAAGAAGTGAGTTTAAGACTGTTGCTTGAAGTGTAGTCACACTAAAGTAAAAGTTTAGAGTCCTGGAACAGACATATTGAAAACTGGCATATATCTGATCTGCATTTGGAAAGCACTAGTTCTTTTCATTCTTCTTAGTGAAATTCAAAATGCTTGATTGAAAGGACATGATAGGTTTTAAACAGAGATGGATTGCAAATCCCAGCACTACCAGTTCGCTCATGCTAGTGCGTAGACTCGTGCATGCGCATAACGCATGCACAGAAGCGTCCGGGCAGATGGGTGGGGCCTCCCACCGCCATTACCGGTTCAGCTGAACTGGGCCAAACCGGGAGCAACCCACCTCTGGTTTTAAGCCATCATTTTCAAACTTGGCAACTTTAAAAAGTGTGGACTTCAACTCCCAGAATTCCTCAGCCAGCATGCTGCTAGCATTTCCCAGCTGACTTTTTGTTGATGTTTGACCTTTCCCCTAATCTTAGCCAGGTCACAGTTAGATACAGTTAATCTTCAATTTAAAACCATTTGTTTAATGACCATTCAAAGTTACAACAGCACTGAAGAAAGTGACTTAGGACTGTTTTTCACACTTACAACTGTTGCAGCATCCCCATGGTCACATGATCAAAATTCGGGCACTTGGGATCATGTGATCACCATTTGTAACCTTCCCATTCAAGCAGAGTCAAAGGGGGGAGCTAAATTTGCTTAATGGCTGTATAATTCACTTAATAACTATAGGGATTCACTTAAAATGGTTGTAAAATGGGGGGGGGAACTCTTAACAATTTGCCTTGCTTAACAATAGAAATTGGGGGGCTCGATTGCAATCATAAGTTGAGACATTCCTGTACAATTAGATGAATCTCCAATTTCAGTGGAAATTTTGAACAGAAGTGATCAAGTTTCATGCTTGAGACTCTAGAGATCCCAGAATAACCTGTATTAAAATTAGAAAAATGACTTGGAACATTCCACTATTGAAACCAAATAAATCCTTCTGGTAGGTTGAAGAAACATACTTACTAGATGTAGTTAATGCTGTTAATTGAATTCTATTCGTATTAAATACCATGGAATATTATTTAATAGTCATGTTTGTTTGTTTGTTTGTTTATAATTAGTGGATTGCAGGATGCTTGTCTCTATGATGTGAAGAGTTTCTTTAGGGTCCTTTCCATAGTACATAATCTCTTCTGCTTTTTAATGAGCATGAATAAAAATGCTAGATAAATGTTTGTAACGCCAGCTACATCTTTCTTCTTATGTTACTGAGCACATGCCTTATACCGATAAACAGTAATCTTCTTCATCCCCATAAAAATTGCATTAGTTTGCCCTAAGGATTTCCTTTACCAGAAGAATTTGTCTTTGTTTGATTCCACTAGAGTGCAAATTGATGCTTGTGGTTATAAGATGCATTTTGTTATAGAGATGATTGCTTCCTGGTGATCTCATAGAGCCATTAACTGCAACCTTGTGAGAAACAGAGCTTAATGTTTGATTAGATCAATTTGTACAGTCTCTATCTGTACTTCTGAGTCTTAAATTGCCCAGAGTATTACCTTACTAAACCTCCCCATGTTCTACCAGTTGACACAGATGATAAGACTTATTTTTATCATGCAAGCTACACACAGTCTGGAACCATAGAATGGAACCATTGGTCTGTTTAGTAGTTACTCTGATTCCATGAGCAATGAAAGTAAAGGCCAAGTCATCAAGGTTTCCTCCTTTGATGTTCTGGAAAATATGGCGTCCCATAGGCATTCCTATAAACATAGGTATCCCTTTGATTATGTAAATATTTGATGGCAAAACTATTATTTGGAAGTAGCAGGGTGCAACTCTATAAAGCAGCTACTGCGTGCAACTGTTTGGATCCTTGCATATTCCAAATATCTTTTTGCTTTCAAATCTGCACAGCCTTAGTTAAAAAAAAATCATTTCATTCTGCAAACTGAAAGCACCAGAGCACTAACTTCCAGGGAGTGCTATATTATAACCTGCAGTGGAACTGTTAATGTTTCACTACAGAAGACTTAGATAATATGGAAGCAATCGCTTGAGTGAAAGCTTGGTGACAATGTTCACTTCTCAGTACAATTCAGATCCAATAGCTACAGCTTTAAATGACTTTATTTCCAGAGGGATTAAGGCAGGGCCCCCCAAATTTGGCAACTTTAAGACTTGTGGACTTGTGGAATTCTCCAGAATTCCGGGAGTTGAAGTCCACAAGTCTTAAAAGTTGCCAAGTTTGGGGACTCCTGGTTTAAGGGAAGATCAGAGAGGGGAGAAATCCAGCCCTGAATTGACTAGAACAATTTTCTAAGTGTAAATGGAATTTGCATTCACACACGCAGAGTGCATTGGAGACATTATTCTGGTATACACACATATGAAGTATTATTCTGACCACATTTCAGATGTCATATTCCAACAAAGGTTTAATTCACGGTTGAAAGGCATCAGCTTTTGAACCCAGGTTCCCAATTCTTGCCCCCCCCCTCCAGTGAGACATTTTTGATTGGTGTCTTTTTATATGCTTCATCATTTGTATGCCTTTCCGTGTAAAATGGTTTTATAGCTTATTAAACAGTTTCTGAACATGTTTTTAACCCTTATCTCCAACTGTGTTCTTTAGCTCTGAACAAGACAAAGAAGAATGGATAAAGGTAAATAAATCTGGCTTGTTATATTCAAATCTGCAATAAATGTGCTAAGATTGATGCTTTATATGCAGCTAGGTAGCATAGCTATGGCTTTGCTGCTGCTGTCATGATTCTTTTGAAATTAAACTTCCAGTGTTTATTGTTTTAAAAAGTTAGTTAAATGGAATCCAGCATGCTTCTATCTCTAGCGTTCGTTTGGTCTGATATTCAATCATTTGTTCTTCCGTTATGTTAAACTTGATCTTCTTTTTCCATTTCATTGATTCCAGGCTCTTCAGAGTACGATAGATGCTTTTCAGCAAAGAAATGAAACATTCAGAAATGCCATTGCAAAAGAATACGATGACATGCCTATTGAGGTTTCTGTAAGTTGAGTGTAACTTTTGCATAGTTTAATGAAAAGAATTGAGAGTAACTTTTGCATAGTTTAATGAAAAGAATTGAGAGTAACTTTTGCATAGTTTAATGAAAAGAATTGAGAGTAACT